TGGGTACGTAAAAATTGGTCATCCCCTCAACCGGCCGCTGATAGCTCAGGGGTAAAATCTCCGACTGATGCCAAAATCAGTCGGGTTTCGATCCCAGCATGAGGCAATCGGATGTCTGGCTACAGTGATGAGCTGTGATATAGCGAAACAGTCTGTCTGTGGATGAGAATATATATATATATATATATTACTGCAATATAATTTTTATAATTCTTCGATTCCATATCTTTTAACTTAGGACCTACGTGAAGTTCGCTCAGTCAGAAGAGAGAATTACCGCCAGGTTTTGGCCATTTAGATTTTTGAAGGTGCAAAGATAAACTGTACTATCGTCTTTATATGTATTTGCTAATGAGCTGAAAATTCTTAATATAAAGAAGAGGATTGGAACTTGGTGGGGGACTTGGGGAACGTTTGTACTGGTGTTAAGTGCTTGCGATGTGGCCATTAACAACGGAATTTATGAAACAACCAAATAAGAAGGTCTTGAGAATTGAGAAAATTTTTCAGAGATGCTATAGCTAGGGAGTTTGTGTTTCAACCGCCCATGTCACACCCTGTGAAAGGGTTCGAGATATCTAAAGTGATCGCTCACCCAATGAATTTGTTAACCAGCGTGTCACAGATTCTATATGTAATGTCTGCCAAGATATCCTCAGATGACCTAGAGGACAGAAATCCACACTGTTTGTCACTAAGGAAGTTACTTCTGGTGAAGGGACCAACAACCTATTTGTTGATAGTATACGCAAAATGAAAGCCGAGAGGGCGATGCTGTGAAGGGGATGAGCTCTCACTCAGATTGTTGTAAAAGGACACATAGCTGATACCTAGTAAAACGTTTTCCTTCAAGCTATGGTTAAACAACTTCAACATGTTTGTAGATAGCTCTTATTTGATTAGGACCCGTGAAATTTAATTCTTTTGATGAGCCGAGGTAAAGATAACGTTTTTGATCCTTGAGAAGGGAAAGATCTGGTAGGGAATGGGATTTGTATTCTAACGTGGAATTAGAGAAAAGTTTCTTTGCAAAGAGCTCAGCCTTATCTGACGATGATGAAATAAACACGGGGCCATTTACAAGAAAAGACTGTTTGTCTTTATTGAGAATATTGTTTTTGATTCTGAAGAGCTCACCACTTTGACTTTCCTGCCTGTACATAGCTGCTCATTGGATTTTCTATTTTTCTTTTGCGCTGGTTGCAAACAGTTCTGAATAAGGCAAAGTATTCTTTTAAAATCTTCCAGCTGCTTAATATATTAGGAGTGGTTGCTTTAAGCTATGGTTGCAGCACGTTTAGGTGTGAACCAAGGCCAACTTTTCGGCTATTTTGTATGATTTTATGTGGGATAAAACGTTCCATGACAGACTATAATTATAAATAATAGGAAAAGTTTTGAGAGATCTCGTTTTAAAGAATGTTAAGAGAGGACATCAATGTCAGACCGCTATTCAAATTAGTTTTAGTGAATCGATAGATCATCCAATGAGATGGGAGAACGCCTTTGGTTTGGCATCAAATTTTACATACATCTGTGAGTCTTTTGTCAGAGCAGGAGATAAAGAAGAGGCCATAGAGTTTATCAAGATGTCTGCTATATCAGGAACATTTGTAGGCTAATCCAAGATCCGGGTCAGCTCATATGCGATGTAGAATATCAAAACATAATTTAGCTTCTCCAACGGTTTTGTTTGAGTGGACTGCCCACTCCTTGTAGTGAATATTGAATTCACCATAAATATGAATGCTAGCTGGATAATTATCTTTATGTAAATCCCTTTCTAAAGATTTTACGATAAAAATGCATTGAAAATCACGACTGAATGAGTGTCAGTAGCCAGGAATTAATGCACGCGTCATTGATAGAATAAAGCTGTGATATGCCATTGTTAGTAATTTTATTATAAAAATTAACTGTTATCAGATTATCAGTAATCATTAATTAATTCAAGCGTTACTGACATGATAGGGATATTATATCTGTTATGTAAATGCATTTGTAATGTTTTATTAAAATGCGTTGGAAGTCACGATAGAATCGTTGTCATTGGTCAGGAAAAAATGCATTATTTGCTGAATTAAAAATGAAAGTCCCAAGATCCTCTCAAGTTAGAGGATTATTTGGTGAGGTTGTTGTATGGGCGTATGAGAAATGCTTATTATAAAGATATAGTGGATAGATAACTAGACTTGAATAAGTTAAGATAATAGTGGTCTGATCTGACTCTTGTAAAGATAGAGCACTTCTGTTGTTATAAGGAACTTTCTGGAACGTACAAGGAGCCAAACATCTTCCCATTATCTTTAGCAATAGATCTTATATATAAGATCCACTTGAGTTTTTAAGAGAGCAGATTTTCAATTAATGCAAGCGTCACTAACAGAATAGCTCGGGAATGCCCACGTTAAAAAGGCCTTGTGCCACATGACACCCTCGTGGGGGGGTGACTGAATATCGTCACTAACAGAATAGAGGTGGTGTTGTAAGTATAATGTAGATCCAGTGCTAGTAATTTTATTATAAAAATGAATTGAAATCAGGATTGACCAATTGTCAATAGTCAGGAATTAATGCAAACGTTACTGTCAGAATATGGATTCGTTTTTTACGGCTTATCAACCATTTGAAGGTTATTTAAAGCCAGAAAGTATTTTTAGATAGTAAGAATGTATTTTTTAGATAATCATGGCTTAGTGATAAAAATTAACCCATGGCAAGAGGAAGAAGTAAATTCATGCCTTTTCTCAAGGGTATTTACGAATAAGTGAATATAATATGCCAACAGGAATACCGATCTCTGATTAACAATTCCGAGCCATTATCCATTACGCTACTCGCAGATACAAGCATACAGCACCTGGTAAGCAGTCACTCATCTAGGTATTGACCAGGCTCAACGTTGCTTAACTTTAGTGATCTTACATGAGCTGGTGTTTCAAAGTGATATGGTCGTACGCCTACTGTCAGAATAGGGCTATTATATTTATAATGTAAATGCACTGCTATGGAAATGAAAGTTTAAATTACTGTCGAATTCATTATATTCACTTACGTGCTAATACCCTTGGTAATGGTATGAATCCTCTTCTTCTCCCCCCACCCCACCAGCTATGGATAAATAGCAGGACAGTCCGGGTTCTATAGCCTTGGATGGCAACTGGTCTATCGAAGAAAGAAATGGTAACATATTGCGAGAAAAAATCTGCCCCGATTGTCATGTATCGAAAGTCACATGATCACCTACGCGTGCATCACGCATGTCACGTAACTGACTGATGGAAATGCATTGGAAATCAGGAATTAATACAGCTATTAATACGAGAATGTGTCGAATGCTAATGCGTTACTAATGACTTTATTATAACAATGCACTGGAAACCAGGGCAGAATGATTGTCATTGGCCAGGAATTATATGCCTAATATGCAATTGATTTACTATGATAAGACTTTATGAATTATTTTACTATACACTATGCACAAGAAACTGAGAAGGAAAAATATTGGCTAATGCAAAATTATTCGTTTCAAATGTTATTTAATATAGAAACGTTTATATTTGAAGCAAAGTATCATATGAGATGTACTCCTCTCTCTCTTCGTTAGTTCGCAGTCAAACCCGTTCAGAAATATTTAAGTTGTCATCTGTATAGAACTGCTTTCCCAGATCCATGGTTCTCAATGCCTTTCAGCGTGAGAAGCCTGTGAGTCTTGGCGAAAATCATGCTCCTTGAGGACTGGCGCTAAAGAATTCTAAACAAAGAATTGTATCCGAAAACAGAATCATCACTTGAGGACATTCAAAAGCAGCAACGAATAAACACATGTAACTCGAAAAGAAAATAATGTAATAATCAAGAGGGTGGCGTTCAGGACGACTTCAAATAGAACATTTTGGAAGGAAACACCAGTCATTAATGGAAAGAGTGATAGCAGCCACTGAACTTGAGAAACTTATTTTCCTGAAAGAAAATTTAAGAGAAAGATTTTTATAAATTTCAATCAACAGTAGCAATCGATATTTTGTCATTCGATTCCAGAAATGTTTCCTGATAAATAAACGGCTAATGTTACTATTATCATTATACTTGTTAACTTTAGTGTATTATATGATAATGTCATAATGTGATTATGTCAATGCAACAATTACTGTGGAGTAATTTTTTTCTGAAAGATTTTGTTAAGGAGATTTTTAAGATAACGAATATTTCGCACGTTTCGAATTTCACATGCAATTATTCATCAAAATCAATCGTATTGCATTATTTTGTACGGCCTGAGGGAGAAGAATATAAAAACACAAAAGACAGTACAAAAAGGTGCACATGCAGTCTTTCACATACAAACAATATGGCTAACATTTCCTAATCCAAAATATGGCTAACCCTCCCGAGGAATTCTAAAACTCGAGAAAACAGATAAAAAATAACAACAGACTATGACTAGAAATAATAGCGCAAATCTGTGACGTACACTTTCATAAGAAAAATAATTAAATTATTCAATAAAATTTATTTTTTAAAACGCTGTATGACACATTTGAGTTTATAACAAGATATATACACAACTTTTCTTAACAATCCGTTCGTCATCAAACTCAATTTTGACTAAATCTTTAAAAAGTATTACACTAATTATTTTTTTTTTATATTATACTGTATTCCAAATTTCTATAAACCTCATTTTAGTTACCTCGAAATGTGTTTATTTTCTAGATACTAAACCCAATCATAGGAAATTTAAGCAACTTGAGCACTTATTAATATTAACATACAAATATTAACCAACCTAATTACTGGGGGAAAATCTAATTTGCTAATAAAAAAAAAACTCATGTAAAATACAAATTTGTGCTTTCAAAATGGCGACGCTGAAATCCAGAAATTAAATGACGTTGATTAAATAATATAACATTGACCAAAAAAAGAAAAAAATGAAGAAAAGAAATCACATTAACAACTGTGCAATGAATGATTTGTTTCTCGACAAATATACTTGCCTCATTAGGTTCCCAGTACCAAATGTCAAAGGTCGGCTGCTTTAAATAATCAATCGTTTCTTGTGACAACGTGTACTGAAAGAAACAAAATACAAAATTTTGTTAGGAATTAACACGTTATTTTAGTACGAAAATAATAGAATGAAAATATTAGATGGACAGCTGAATGCAGTTTTTGTCCAAATTGATCACCGGTCAGTTCAGCATAAAAAATGTTAACTTGAATTCTGAAAGAAATCAAATTCAGCCTTCAACGTTATTTTATACCTTTACGCAATTATACCAAATACACATAAATAAATATCAGGCTATTTATTTGGATTTTGTAGATTTTATTCTATATTTCAATAGTAAATCTTACAAATATAATTCAAGAAAAAATTACTGGGACAAACACGATATCTTTTTCAGATAAAACGAGAAAATTCATTTTTGTCATTTTATGTTAAATCAACCCTTTATAACGGAAGTCTATTTTGAATGTTTCATTAACAGTTATTTAACAATAACAACGATTCCTTTCCAGATTTAACCCATAGCTGGGAGTAGGCAGAGGGATTTATACCTTTCCAAGTATACTTGAGAATAGGTGAATGTAACGACCCCGACAGGAAATCAAATTCGGCTCACAGACTTCTCATTCTTAGTCGCTATACCTTACAAATTTCCATTACCCGCATCTCCCAAGATCAACAGCGACAACACTGCAACAACAACACCAGCAGCAGCAGAAGTAGTAGTAGTAGTAGTAATGAAAATCCTTGAAAACTACTGAAAAAAACTCGTCGAATATAAACATGTTCAGATAGAAATTGTGAGAATATTGGGCAGGATGACCACAACAATCGAATTGCTAAAATGTGCTCTGATCAAGAAAGGAATGAAAAAATACATCCATTAAATCACTAGCAATATGAAGGACTCCAGACTATCTTTAATGGTCATTTCTCACATTGTGACCGATGGTTTGAGCGTGGTAGACTTGTCCCGACTGTTGATCACGCTATATAACCTGCTCTCTCTCAGAAACTGTAAGGTCCGCTCAGCAACAGGCAATGGTTAGCCGCCCTGGCAGACAGGAATACTAGGGTGAAGGCGGTCATACATTAAATAAATTAATCACATTAACATTATTATTATTATTATTATTATTATTATTGTTGTTGGTGGGGGGGTGTTATGTTTCTTGCGTTGTATCCTGAAGAGCCGGGTCCAAACTGCGATCTTTAGGCCCTATAGGAGAATTGTCATTTAACTGATAGCACTTTTCTGAGTATATGACATATCCTAGTAGGGCGATTTTCTCTACAAGTTGTATGTTGATGTTACCTGAGACACTGTTAGTAAAATCATCCATTCCTTTTCTCACTCGGTCGAGAGCTCCTATTAGTCTCAGTTTTCATTCCCCACAACCTGTTAATATCGATTTCCACGTCCTTGTATTTGGATAATTTCTCGATAATTTTTATTGAGGTGTTTTCTCTTAGATGGTACTGCTATATCAATAAACATGCACTTCCTGAATTTCTTGTCTTTTATGATACTATCAGATTTGTTTGCATTTATTTCGCTGTCATTTTGAATTGGCATGTCCAGCAGGATAGTTACATCGTTATTGTAGGTAACATTTTCTGGTTGATGGTCATACCATCTCTCAGTGGTTTCGATTTTGTGCTTCTTGCATATCTTCCAGTGTACATATATTGCTACATTGTTATGCCTTATTATTATTATTATTATTATTACAATGTTAAGCCAGCATTTATTTCGCCAATATATATCTTTAGGTTTGTCACACTGCCTTCTGCTCATGCTTATAGTTGGTACTATTGTGGTCACGTGATCTAAGTTTGAGCTTGATCGTGCCAGTATTCTTGCTGCTGTTACAGTGTAAACATGGCCGCTCCGATAGCAGTGTGCATCAAGAAGGGAGAAATAAATGTGAATCTACCGAAAACTTGTTACCTCGTCGATGACAACTCCCCGTTGCCATCTCTCGAGCTTGCTGAATTTTCTCGTCACTGGTGGAGGTTTTTGACTAGCGTCCAGTTCCTTCTTCGGGTGTCACGCTTCCTCGGCCACTTTTAAACTTCTTGATTTACTCATACCCTCTTCTACGCGACAGTGTACTGTCTCCATATTGTGTTAAATGCCTTTGATGGATTTTAGCCCCTGACACACCTCCCAACCAGAGATATGTGATCTCTGCTCTTTCTTCCTCTTTGGTGCATACTGCTAGCGATGCGGCCATGTTTACACTGTAACAGCAGCATGGAAATAGTACCAACTATAAGAACGCATAAGCTGAAGGCAGTGTGACAAACATAAAGATATATCATGGTGAGAGTGCGGGTAATTTCTTTACTTACCCTCGTTTTATCATCGCCCTTCCTTAATCTCTGATTGTTTTTAGTTATTATTTGTCTGTGTCATTAAAAATGAGAATGTTTTTGTTCAAGTAAATTTTTTTTTTCATGTCGCTCATTTCTGACTACCCTTATTTACTACTTTGCATAACATAAATCATTTTAATTGAAATTCCCCCTTATCTAAGCTCAACTATCATTCCGGGAAGCTGTGTTCTAAGACACGCTTGCAGGACCACTATGTATTCGCAAGTGATTAAAACGTCTATTAAGAAATCCTGGAAATAATGAAGCGAATATATTTCGAACGTTTGAAGAAAAAACAGAGCGCTCCGGTTAAAGACCAAGGTTTTCATCTCGAAAGAGATATTTGGATGACTATATTGAATCTTAAACACATATCAGTGACATTTCTAATCCTTGGCAATATATTTGGATGTACACAACGATTAGTTTGAATGTATATGAATATTTCTTTTTAAATTAATAAACAAACTTTATTGAAACAAAACAAGTTCAGTTGACCATTGATGACAATTCCAGAACAACGTAACTTTAAACATTTTTTGTCTATCCTCTGCCAGTCGCAATGATGGAAAAAAACATTACCTCAAACCATCGCCAGTGAGACACGCTGCAAGAGCCACTCCGTTTCGCGAGGCACGTCCCTTAATTGAGACGCAATCGCGCCAATCCTTCGAAGGAGCACCATCGAACGAGGGCCAATAAACCCCTGGAGTCTCCACTGCCACAGGAGTAAAAAAAAATCTATCAGCAAGAGAAGAATATTTAACTATTTTTTTTTTTCGTCTCTGCGTCCCGGTTGACGGATCCTTGCTCAAATGAATAAATTATTTTGTAATTCTTATTTTTTATGTCCCTTTTTTGTTTTTTTTAAATCATTTCACTCCAAGCAAGGCAATAAAATTACTAAGACGCAAGGGCGGGGGAGGGGGGGCGAAGAGTATGAAATATTATAAGAAAAGAAGAAATATTATTAAGGAGTGGGAACAATAGAAGATCAGGAATCAAGAAGACAGAAGATAACGATTGAGAATTATGAATAAACAAATCAGAAGATAAATATAGATATTGCATTTACATTTCTGAGGATCAAACTTGACTGGAAAGCAAGAAGCCGGAACTAAGTTCCACGAGTGACAAGTGCGAGAGAAGAAACTCTTATTATTATTATTATTATTATTATTATTATTATTATTATTAACTGTTATTATTATAAACTATTATTATTATAAACTTTAAAAACTTACGTTTACATCTCTCCATTGCGACTGTAAAACATTGCCGCAAATCTAGCGATTAAATTCATAAAATCTAGTTATCATAGAGGAAAGTTCGTCAGAACTATTACCATGAAGATATTTATAGAAAAGACACAGGGATGCCACATTATAGCGATAGGAAAGTGACTAAAGCCGAAGTGCCAGATCAGGGCCAACAACATTGCAAGTTTTTTTTTTTTGGCTATTGGTATCTAAATATATAGCAGGAATACCAGATCAAAGCAGGGACGAATGGTTGATGTTCAAGATAGATTTAGATGAGAAAAAATTGTCTTGCACGAAACAGTGAAACAACTTTCCTAACAGCAAACCGAGTAATTGACTCAATATAATCTTTCCACATTATATCAGCGAAAGGTATTTTAATAATTTTCATTTGATGTCAGCGACCAGCCATTTAGAAAACATTTCAGATATCTTCCCTTAACAACCAGTGAAAGAGCTTATTATAAAAACGAATCATTACCCCCGGCGATTCACCTTGATTTTACGACTGTTTAAATTTACTGCAGTCTACCAGATCGATAAATATTGGTATGACAATAGATCGTTGGTTTTTTTTTTTTATACTTTCCAGTAATTTATTAAGAAATGGACAAGGTCCGACAATTTATTTATTAAAGACATTTTTATGTTTAACGTTGTTATTTATAGATACAAGTATTTAAGAAACGATTGTTTATGATAAACAGTATTAAATAACATTTACGTTCGAATGAATGTTGAACCATAGAAAACTATTGGACTTGCCTAACCTCGGGGCCACAAAGAACCTTTCGGTAGACAAGGTCGAATTTACTGAGGTTAGGCACGTCAGCGTAAATGACGGTTCCGTATAGGATGCAGGTTCGAATCCTGTCAAAGAACGAATATTTTCTATGAAAATTTCTCGGACATTCAGGCCGGTAAATGTTATTTAATACTGTTTATCATAAACAGATCATTTGCTTAAATACTTGTATCTATAAATAACAACGTTTCCAGTAATTGTTAATACCCTTGGGAAATGTATGAATCCTCTTCTTATCCCCCTAGATGTAGGTAAATAGCAAGACAGACCGGGTGCTATAGACTTGGATGGAAACTGGTCTACGCAGAAGAAATGGCAATCTATTGCGGGGGAAAAAATTTCCATCGTCAGTCATGTATCGAAAGATACATGATCGCCTAAGCGTGTATCACGCCGAGCACATAACTGAGTGGCCAGTTTAGTACTGCGCTTAAATTCATATCGTTTGGGTACGACAGAGGAAAGTTCATCAGAATAATTACCAGGAATGTATTTAGAGAAAAGCCATGGAGAAGCTCCATTACGGCGTCTGGAAAGTGACTGCATACCAAGTCAGGAACAATAACATTGTAAATTATTCGTTAGATTATATCAAGAATCTCTAAATATATAGCA